AGGTCCCGGCGCGGGCACCGAGGGCGGCTGCCTGCCCTCCTGCCTGCCTGCCCTCCTGCCTTCCTGCCTGCCTGCCTGCCCTCCTGCCCGCCGCTTCCCAGGGTCCCCGGGCGGGAACCTCTCCTCGGCCGTTCGCCGCCGCGGCAACGCATTCGCTCCCGCAGCTTCGTCAGCACGGCCGTGGCTCCGCTTTCCGCTTCTCTCATAGCATCCCCCCCGCCAAAAAAAAATCCCAACGTTTAAATTATTGGTGCCTTGTTTGGACTTGGTCCCGGTACTGCCCGATTTTCACATCTATTCCATTTACAAATAAAAAAGCAACTGGGCGGGAAAAGCAGGCTGTGTTGAATCTGCCGAGGTGGAATCGCCACTGAGGATTCTCTTCGCGAATATGCTTCCGCGAACACCAAAGCTATGTAAAAACACAAAATGAATGGGAAGGTCCCCCTTTAAGACAGACGAGTTTTTGCGTGTTTGTGCTTAGGTTTTGGTTTGCTGTTTTGTTTTGTTTTTTTTTTAATTGCAATTTCCCCCCCGCAGCGTTGCGGGCGGTGCCGAATATGCGGCGGTGAAGCGGCAGGCCGGTAAACAGCGGCCCGTCCTGGCCGCGGGCTCGCCCAGGAGGCGCCATGGCGGCGGGGGGCCTGGCGGGGCTCCTGCCCGCCCAGACCCAGCTGGAGTACGCCCTGCTCGACGCCGATACTCCCCAGGAGAAGGAGAACTTGGTCTACCAGTACCTGAAGAAGATGGACAGCCGGGAGCGGGACCTAACGGTGCCCGAGCTCGGCGGAGGTGGGTGGGGGGGCCCCGGCCGGGCCGGCTCTGGCCCGGCGGAGGTGGCTGAGCTCCGGCGCTCACCGTGTGGCGTTTCCCTTGAAGTCCCGCTGCCTCACGGCCCCGTTAGCTGCTTTTTTAAAAGGCACTTCCAGTCACAGGGATTGTCACTCCTGAAGGCACCAGGAGCAAAGGACAAGAAACAAGAACCCCTTTGTAAATGCTCCCCCTGCTTCTGGTTGCAAAAACCTGGTCTTTAAAGCCGCTCTTCTAAATTTCTACTTCAGCTTTATTAAATTACTTTTTTTTTTTAATAAAGCCTTTCCTTTCAGTACAGTATATTGATATCTCTCTCTGGTCGTAGTGAGAACCTTACCAATTCCCACAGCTTCCTCCTGAGCTCCCTTGATTGCACTGCAGCCGCTGAGGGTGTTCCCCAGCTCTCTCTCCCCATAACTTACCTGTGCTTGTCAGTTTTCATGTCCCTGATAACACAAACTGTGCTGGAGATGTCCTCCTCCCTCAGTGGTATGCCCATTGCCCTTTCACACGTTTCTCTATCTGTTCCTGTGCTAAGTGTGGAATCAAAGGTTAAGTCTTGTAAGATCTTGCAAGTCCTGCTCAGGGTCCTTGTAACCTTAGTGAGGCTCTCTGGAACTGCGGGAGCTCCCATCTGACTGCAAGGCAGAGACCTCAGTGGGTAAACCTCAGGGTTAAATTCACATGCATATCATAGGAATGAATTCTGACTTGTAACCATTGGAGCTTTGAGTGAGTGCTCTTTCTGGCTAGATGTGGACCCCTGAACTGAATTTTCACTTTTGTCATTAGTATTGTTTCACTTTCTGTGTTTCTGTCAAAGCTTATTTTCTCCTCTAAAAAGAGCCAACATTTTTCATTTCCAGTATTTTTTTATGAAAGATATTTTAATTCTAGTGAAAAGGGGAACAATGCCATAAAATAAGTAAGTTACTCTTTTCTTCTAAAAAATAAACAGTAAAGCATTGCCCTTATGTGGAAATAATGCATAAACTTGCTAAATTATTATCATTATTGTCACCAGATGTAAATGTGTGTGCATCCATTTATGTTTATAAATACATGGAGGTAGAGACCAATCCTCCTCTTAGTGAAACAGAAAACAAGCCTCCTGCTGACTTCAGCAGCAATAACTTCTCCTGGGGCAGTGAGAACTTAGTTTGCTGAAACTGTCAGGGTAGAAGTTTTGAGGACTTTTAGATTAGTCAGCATACATTTTTAAAAAGTGGCCCCTCAAAAATGTAGTTTGGCTTTGCATTATATCACATTTTTCTGTTCCCCCAACCCCCATTATTTTCAGAAATGTTGAGTGATAATAACAGCAGACCATATTCTAGGATATTTATTTCGTATCTTGATACCAGTTTCTTATGGGATCAGAGGAATATCAGTTACCAGTGAGAACACAGTGCTTTCCTGTCTCATATCAAATGGTTAAAATAAATGACCTGCAGGGTGTGTCTGAAAGGGTTGTATTTCTTCCCATGTAACAGGATTAATTTATACCTGGCTTCTCTAAGTTTGAAAATCAAGATAAAAACTGTAAACATAGAAATATTTCAGTCATCTCTGAAATTAGTTCTTTACAGGACTGTTGGAAAAGTCATTAGGAGTTTAACCGTTTTTTAGTTTACTAGCATTTATGTGAGTTTTAAAGAAATAGTTGTTGCCCATATGACATTGTTAGTTTGAGTAATGTAATTGAGATCATGTTTTAAAATGTATGAAAAGTGTTCTGAGGCTTGCATGCTCTTTCAATTAAAAGGTGAGTATATAAATATGTAAACCACATTTTCAATATTACATCAAATCTTGTTAATATTTCTTTTCATTTACTAATGAAGAATTAGTGGAACATAAATATAAGACTTTTGGCTTTTCTACCTACATAGAAAGTGATGTTGAACTTTTTTTTTAAATGAAATGTGCTAGGAACAGTGTGGTGGTGTGCAAATTAGGTGTAACTGTCTGCCCTTTGTCTGCCTTTCCTAACCTTTCCTTAATCTCTGTTCTCTGTATTCCAGATCTACAGTGGTTAAACACTGAAGGTCCTATTTCTCTTCACAAAGACCTTTGTGGAAAAGTTGTGGTGTTGGATTTCTTTACTTACTGCTGCATCAATTGCTTGCACCTGCTGCCTGATCTCCACGCGTTAGAGCACCAGTACTCTGATAAAGGTAAAAGTGCTTTGGCTTGCTTCGAACAGAATTTCCTGGCAGTCTTGCAGGTGGAGTAGCTGAGTCACTTTGTTGCTGGTTACTAAACAGCTGGCAAAATTTCAGGGGTGCCTAAAAATGTCGTCTTATCTTTTAAGTAGCCTAAAAAAGGTGACTGTGTATGCTCTCACCACATTTTTAAATGGGGTTAAATAAGGTATCTGTTGTGTCTGTATAATTAAAGAAACAGGATATGTGTTTAAAGCCCAAATCTGATATTCTCATAAATTAAGGCTATTTGCAAAAAGCTACGCAAGGATGTCAGACACGGGTTGAAAGTTAATCTGCGTATGTAACACTCTACACTTGACTTAGGAACCAGCTGTGAGCAGAACATAGTAAAGGTGGTAGAATGGATACAGTTAAGATTACTTGTTTTTTCCATTCTAAGTGAAATAACAAAATATGTTGGTTTAGCAAAATAATAATAACAAAATAAGCTTGGTTTAGAATTTTTTGGGGTATTGGCATCACCTTATGTACCGTTAATAGTCCTGTATTCTGGAGAGGGAATTAAGCTCTTTAGATTTCATCTCAGATTTGAATTTATATCTTTTTCTGAGTGAATAAAAATGCAGGGTAATTACTATTTAGAATGTAGTCGCTTGTCATCGTGATGACTTGTCAGAGATAAGCTGTGGTCTTACACAGGATGTATCAGCTACACATCTTGGATAATTTAATAGACTTGTTCAGAGATGAGCAACGGTGTTACTTTCAACCCTAAAAATATCATATTAAACATAATATATCTATGTAATAAAAACAGCATTATCTTATAATGCTTGAGTCTGTGATTCTCCATTGGCATTTCTGATTGATTTTTATTTTGGCAGCATTTATTTTCATGTGTTACCTACTTTCACTAGAAAAAGAAATTACAATGTCTTTGAAATTTAGAGTTCTTTAAGTGGTTCATTTATATATGGTAGGTTTACGTAGCGCTTTACAGAAGACTCAAATAAACTAATTTTTCTACCTTGAAAAGCTTAGCTGTTTGCTTTGGAGAAATTTGAGATCTGGTATAATGTTTTAGATATGAGGAACTTTATCTAATGAGGAAAAGCTGTCACGACATTTTTTTTGTGAGGGAGGCAGTTTTAAGTGGAAGGTGATTAGCAAATGATAAATGGAGTGCTGTGGATATCAGGCATGCTGGGAAGAAGGTCTAGATGGAGATTTCAGAAGATTACATTGATCATATAATGAATAATATCTTTAAATGACAAACATTTTGTAGTGTGGTGTTATTGTATTAATACAGCTGTCATATCCTTAATCTGTTTTTTAAGACCAAGCTGTTAAATCAGTTGACAACAAAAAATTAATTTTGACAGCCTCTCCCCACAAGCTTTCTCTTTAAAGTATTTGAACATCTCTATACTGATGTAGAAGAGGCTGCAGCACTCTGAACTGAACTGGAGGTCCACTTGGAGACACTTTTCTTTGTTTGACTTGTATTAAACTTCCTGTCATAGGAGTTATTGCTTGAGGAAAGTACTATGCTGATAGGTGATAAATTCTTTTTGCGTTTGAGCTATCTTAGTAAGTTCTTTTTGGATTTGAGCAGTTCCTACAGGAACTGGAGTTAGAAAAAAAGATACTTGGGTGAAAGTGGAAAAACAAGTGGAGGTAAAAGGAAAGAAGAGCAGGTGTGTGTAACATTAATCTTAAATTTAATGTGTTAGGAAACAGGATAGCTGTTGAATTCAGGAAGAGATTAAGGTGCTTGATGGCTCAAACAAAAAGAAAAATACATTTGTTTTTTTCACTATAAATCTCCCTTTTGGTTGTTTTCTGTTGTTTCCATGTTTTGATTGTCAACCTTTTCAGGATTATTTAATCTTTGCTGTGCTAAGTGTGTAAATTTTAGCATTACAGTAGTTAAGGCTATATATTGATGTATGTATAAATATATCAAGGCTATAAGGGTTGTGGGTTTTTAAGCCATAGAAAAATACTTCAGTAGATGGTTTTATATTAATGTGCATCTTCTTCACCAAAGGCGAACATAATTTACTAATCACTAGGAGAAAGAGGAGATTTGTTGACTTGAGAAACTTGAGAAAGGTGAAGGTTGGAAGAATGAAACTGAATTAGAAAGAATGTCGGACATAAAAAATGCTTTAAGAATGTCTAGATATATTAATGCAGGTATCTTGGTGTTCGTCCTTATTGTGGAGTTTCATTCTATTTTCATGTACTCTCTTCTTTAGTTAACGGAAATCCCTTCTCCTTTCAAGGGGTGGGAGACAGGTTCACTTTTGGTTGGCTTGATTCCGAAATCTGTCAGCTCATTATTGCAAAAACTGATTTTGGTGCAACAGACGAGCAACATGATTTCTTTTGGCAGCAGCAAGTCAGATTAAATATATAGTGAAACTGCAGCTTTACTAAACTTTAGATTTTTAGAGATAGCATTTATTTACACATTTCATGTAGAAGTGGCAGAGGGTGCTGAGCTAGCAGACAATATTAGGATGAAAACAACACCTTACTCTGACAAAGCATCTATCTCATAATGCATTTGGATCTTTAATCTATTGTTTGAATATTTGAAGTAATGTTGTCTATATTTTTCTGCACAACTAAGAACAAACCTCGATATTGATATAATTAACAGCAATGTCTTTTTTTACTGTACATTGTATAGATATATTTTTGATACTCATATATTTTTTTTAATGTGGTTCCAATGCCCCCTTACATGAGTATGTTGAAACTTAAGCAGTGTGATCATCAGACATGAGAAGTGTGAACGCAAGAAGCTGTAGTTTTAGGATGATCTTAAACCATTATATATATCATTGTACATATGCACATAGTTCTGTTTGGAGCTTCAGGAGATCCGTTTCAAAATGAAGGCTGCTTTCCATAGGATTAAATGTCGCCTAGCATCTTTATCTGATATGTTCTTGCTGCTATCTTCAGTGGTGCTATTTCTGTTTTTCAAGTGGCATTCAGAAAGTTATTTTAAACCCCAGTGCATATTCAGTTCATGTTATCAGCAGTCCAGAAATGACTTCTATAAGAGGGAGTGCTTTTTAATATTCAGAAATAGCTTGGCATAAATCCAGTGTTGTGCTCTGGTATAATCCTTCAAATAAACTGTTTTAAATGGTGTGCATATTCTTACATCTCAGCATTGCATCCGTCAGTTTCCACAATAGTTTTCTCCAGGAGAGGATGTTATAACTTATTTGTGCTATTCAGGTGTTCGGTATAGAATTGTCTTTCTACCTTTAATGATATTTTTGAAGGACAAATATAAGTGCTGCTACTGATCCTATTATAGTTAAAATGTTTGACCTGCTGTTTGGAGTTCAGCAGTTAATGACACTGCAACTTCAGCTGTCTGATACTGCAACATGCTGTGCCTGTAGGATGGATAAAGACTGTATCAGTTATAGTGATTTTTTAATTCAACTAAATCTTTTATTGTGCAGCACTTTACCCTTTCCTGTTGACACATTGAAATATTACCATTCCTGCAGATGCTGTTCTTCTCCATTAACACTGTTTTATGGTTGAGGAGAAGGGCTAGAAGAGAAAAATAGTTTTCCTTTTCTCTGTAACCGAATAAAAAGCCAACCTGAGATTAAATTAGAGGTTTTCACCGTTCTTGCAATGGCAAACTCCACTGACTGTAGCTGCAGGGCTTTTGGAGGACTGTTTTACAAAAGCATTTTATTTTTACATATTTGCCTGAAGTTTTGCAAATAGTGAAGCCCTTTAATGGATTAGGTAGTAAATGCCAAATTACAGTAATGATCTGTTATGTAAATGACCAGTTTAGAATGAATTGTTGTGTGACACATAACAGTTGAGGCTAAATGAAATAAAATGTGTAAGATAGGTGAGTTATTGCAGAAAAAAAGTACACTTCCTGTGGATTAAAAATTAAAATGCTAAATAAATAAAATTATTTTCTTTGAAAAGGAGAAAGGCGCGTTATTCAAGCTGCAAAAGGTTATTTTGTGTATGGTTTTCCTTCTCGGAGAGCTAATTCTGGATTTTGCTAATTGCAATTGCAGCTGGAAGAGTGAAGAGAGAAAAACTGGGGGAAAGAGGGGTACTGTTCTAGCAACTATGAGAAGCTAGAAGATGAGAAATAAATTATTTAGCAACGTGATTGAAAACATTTGGGTTATGTTCTGATTAGATTTGTGATAAACTGAGAAGTCTTCTCCTGTTGTAACAAATGGTTATATTTGAATGAGAAAAAAATTGCCTTCTAAAAATTAAGTATATGCTACTATAAGTAAGTGAAACAGTTCATACTCTCAAGTCTTCTTACAACTTTGCTGAGAAAACATTTATTTAAAAAATTGTCTTTTCTAGGTGAGTGTCCTTTCAGGAGGGCTATTTCCATTGGCTGTTGTTTAGGATAAAGCATAACAGCGTTAGAGTAAGCACCAAATAACAGCGCTTGCTTACTTAGAGATTCACATTGCACATCTGCCTTTATCCTTTATAACTAAATTGTATCTATCTATTGTTATCTAAATTTAATAGCTGTTCAGCCAAACCTATTTTGTCTATAGTAGCACAATACAATATTTTCAATTGCAGTGAGTATTTGTATGAGCATAAATTAGTCTGATTTAAGAACCTTATGAAGTTCTTCAAGGATTTTACACTCATCACATGTCAGAGTATAAGCATCATCAGAACTGGATTAGATTGGATAATGGCTGTTCTTCCTCCATGCCACCCTGTACAGACTCCAGGTCTTCTTTGCTTTTTGGTATTACTTGTATTACTGAAAAAACACAGTACTACAAGCAATCCGCTTATAGACATTCGTGACTGGGGGAAGGAAGGAAATGCCACAGATATTTGAATGCTACTGATAAAAGGGTTTATAAATGCTAAATGTTTTGATAGACCTGACTGGGGGAAAAAAAGTACTTTTTTGTTGTTGTTGTCAAAATAATTTCTAATACTGTGGTAAAATTAACTCAAGTTGGGTGTCAACTCTAAGGATAGTTTCCTTTCCCATTTAATTTCACTCCTCAAAACAACACAAAAGATCAGATGAAAATTTAAAATTTTACTTGGACAAATAAGTAGAAAGATCCCAGTTGTTATTTGTGGTTACAAAATGCTTGCACGATCCAGAAACATGAGCGATTTTTTCGGATAAGTAGTAAGGTTAATGTCTAAGGACTTCCATTAGATTAACAGTTCTGGTTTAAAATCAATGTACTGCAGCTTTCTACAACTGCATGGTTACTGTTGTTGTTTTCCTTACTTCAGTTAGAATTGACAAGTTACTTTGACTACAACAAGATTATGCTTATGGCTAGTAGTATTTTTTAAGTACAAAGTGAGGCAATGTAGGGTATTGATGTCATGGGCACAGTTTACTTCATGTGGTAGAGATTATGCTAGTAAAACATAATTTAAAGCCCTGAAAAAAGATGTAGTCTTTTTTTTGTCTCTCCCCCTGCCCCCTTTTCTGCTCCTAGAAAGTACTGAAAAGTGGCTTGACTGAAGGCTTGACTGAAGGCTCTTCACTCTCTTTCTGTGGGGTAGGAAAGGGGAGTGGAAAATTTGGGGCTGCTTACATAATTGTCTGCTTGGGGTGGAAGTAGATTTATTTCTTACCACAAGGGAAAAGCAGCTGAAGTCTGAGCCAGAGAGTTTTATTTCTGTGTCTGAATTTCATAAAACTAAGAAAATAAGTAAGGAATTCAAGGAAGCTCGTAATTGTGTGCTTTTGATTGATTTTAGGGTTGGTATTATGTATGCAGCGTATATAAACAGAATTATATTACTTTATGCTTATGCAACACCTTCATACTAGGATTTCCAGTGCAGTTATCCCTGCTATGGGAAAACGTAAACTCTTCCTTGTCTTTATTAGCCAAATACAGAACATAAGCTAAACATTTTAAGAGGAGGGGCAAAAATCAATTATTTAATCCTCTTTTCCCTTTTTTTCCCCTTTTTTTTTTTTTTTTTTTTTTTTTTTTTTAAGGAAAAGGGTTCAAGCTTGCCTGGTTTGTAACAAGTGCTATTTGTCATTTTGTCATAGTTGCCAGTGCTGCCATTTTTGTTTGAAATATGGAATACTCTATTGATTTCAGAAGACTATGCATTATTTTTTTACTGTTTATCTAGAGTTAGATGTGTCAAGGTAACTCTGGACTTCCAGAGTTCAGTGTTACATTTGTGATTCCTAGTTAACTGTGGAAAAGAATTCATTTTCTAAAACACCGTTGTTGTGTACAGGAATCAAAAGACAAGGAGGTATCATAAACATCTGAAAAAAACCAAAGTATCAGTTGAGCTGCAACAGCTTACCCATAATTATTTTCAAAGTATTTTCTACCTTAGTATGTAGAGGTTCAGGAACTAAGAACAATTTATGACATATTAAATGTCAACCAGCTGGGGAAGTAATGGTCCTAAAGTTCAGTAATTTTACTGCAATGTTATTTCTGAGTTTCAGTATTTTGTATGCATAGCTATCTATATTCCTACTGAGATGTAATTGCTATTTGCTTGTTCAAATCCTCTTTCATTCTGGAAAGCAGTCAGTCACATTGTGAGATAACTGTGCTTCATTTTTACTTTTTTTTTTTTAATTCAAATACCAGTATGTTTCACTGCACAACTTTATTTTTCCTTTCAGATGGTCTTATTATTGTTGGTGTCCATTCAGCGAAATTCCCAAATGAAAAAGTTCTGGATAACATTAAATGTGCCATTCTGAGGTATAATATTGTCCACCCTGTAGTAAATGATGCAGATGCAACGCTGTGGCATGAACTAGAAGTGTCCTGCTGGCCAACTCTGATCATTCTCGGGCCTCGTGGAAATATGCTGTTTTCGCTTGTTGGAGAGGGACACAGAGAGAAGTTGTTTTTGTTTACTTCTATAACACTGAAATTCTACAAGGAGAGAGGACAAATCAAAGATAACAGCATTGGAATAAAGCTATACAGAGACTCCCTCCCACCTTCTCCTCTGCTGTTTCCTGGCAAAGTGACTGTAGATAATTCAGGAGAAAGGCTGGTAATAGCAGACACTGGACATCATAGGATTTTGGTTACTCAAAAAAATGGACAAATTCTACACACTATTGGAGGTAAGGGTATATATGTTTATTATAGTAATTTCAGTTTAGGAGTAGAGTATGTTTGCTGGGCCTACTAGGCTGATTCTTTTCTTAGAGCACCTAGTAGTTTATAAACACTGCCAGAAATTTTTTTTCTACTAAAATCATTTTTAATGGATATGGGGGGATATAGCATAGTACCGTCAATGGGAGACTCTGTTAAGACAACTGTTTGAGATGTCTAATTTTTTTTTTTCTTTGGTCCATTGACTAAGTTTTGTGTTTTTGTGATGTCCAATATGAATTACAAAAAATACATTTTGTATTCTTCTGAAAGAGTTACAAATGGGTTTAGATTTAAGTAACATACGTCCACATCTAACAGGAAGGTAGGGAAAAGAAAAAATAATTCCTCCCTTTCCAGTAGAAGAAATGAATGTTGAATTGTGGTGGTGGTGTTGTCTACGGAGGGTTTTGGGGTGTGTTTTTGTTTCGGTTGTTGTTGTTGTGGTTTTTTAAATCAAGAATTCCTCTATAGGATCCCCTTCTGGGTTTTACAGGAGGGAAGAATTATCAAGAGGAGTGGCATTGCACTAGTACCTAGGTACCTGAAAATGAAGTTGCCTTAGTATATATGAAAAGGCCTGTGTTCTCACCAAAATTGAGGTGTAAGGTATAAGTTATGAAAATAGTGAAAGTATTTTAGTTACATTTGTTACAAAGTTTATATTTGTAACATTTCAGCTTTAAAAAACTAACCTCTTTAACTGTTTTTGTAAAATTACTATCTGCTTTACAATGCAAATCAAGAAAATGTAGTTGAATTTGCACACTCTTTGTATGCTTTACTCTTTCATAAATGAAACATTCAGACTTGTTCCTTTTTTTTAATCTGTTACAGTGGTCAAAGTTACATCTTAATGCACCAAGTACATAGCTGTTAGGACAGTCCATCTATGAGCAACCATAACAGACAGATTTAGGAAGTGGATGAATCCCTGAATCATTGAAAACAACAGTTCATTTATGTCTTGGAATCAGGACCTGTATGCTGATGTGTCCTATATTACTTAGTCTGGTATCGCTAATGCCTGTCCCATGGCAGGATCCTGCAAACCTCATAAAAATACCAGTGGCACTGCTGTTTAAAGAAAGGAAGAAAATCTCTTGCTATTTGAAGTAACAGTGCATTGGATAGACAGACTAATTATCCAAGTTAACCTGGTAAGGGTATTGGTCTTGATACCCTTCTCCTATGGGAGGTACAAACCAGATTTCTTATGACAAAAGTGAGAGAATTTGGTTTCTGTTTGATATGCGAGATGAAGTCTTTGCTGACAAGGTACCCTTTAGTGTTCCGAGATAGTCATTAAACAGCAATTCAGAGGGAAGTGTCCTAACCTCTGAACTGGTACCCCTCCTTCCTGCGGCACTCCGTGCTATCCCCTTCCCTGGGGATGTGCGCCCTGGCGCTTACCAAGGGGAGCTACTGGAATCTGACACACCAGCACCTCAGTGCTTCATGTCTGTTAAGGTTTAAATCGTCTTCTGACAGTAGGTTGTAAAACTTTGTGTATTTCAGTGACTCAGTTAAATGATTCAGTGGGCAGAAAATAATGGAATGAAGTTGATAATACAGTAATAAATGTGGGCATGCACAAAGGTTGAAATTAATATATTTGCATCATAAATCATGATGCACGCATAACTCATCTATCTAAATGTCTTCTGCTGACACATACTGCTGATGCACTTTAAATGTTACTCCCTCTGAAATACGATGCTTACCTTCCTACTGTTACATTCAGGTCATGTTCCTTTCTATTTCTTGAATTCTCTGTGCAGAAGACTGTCACTCCATCGTTCTCACTGTTCTTTTGTGTAATTAGTTCCATGTCATCATCTTCCTAATTATTAATGAGAAAATGCTGCTAATCAAATATTAGTTTCATTTGTGATTAAAATCTAAACCATTGAAATGGAATTGAGCTTTGGAATTTAAAGTTTTTCCTGCTGGCTTGCTTTGATGTAGTTGGGAATAAAAAAAGATGTAGTTTTTTTATTTCTGTCTTCTGTTGTTGCTGTTGTCCTTTAGTGCAAGGGAACGGGAGCAATTTAGACCCCTATTAAGACTTCTCTTTGGAAAATGAGCTTAAAAAAGCAGAGAATTTGTGGAGAATGAGTTCAAAACTTAATAGCACCAGGCTATTGTAATTACATAACAGTGACTAAAATGAGACTGCACAAAATATTAATAATGTAAACTGTACGAGGTGCTGTGAAAGCATCTCTTAGATTATGTAATTCTCTTACAGGTTTAAATGTATGCACTTTATTTTTAAGGGTTTTTTTTTTCTAAAATTACTTTTGAGTTTGCCTTGTTTCATTTATAGGTCCAAACAGTGGAAGGAGAGATGGAAGATTTTCAGAGGCAGCTTTCAACTCACCACAAGGGATTGCTGTAAAAAATAAAGTTATTTATGTAGCTGATACAGAAAATCACCTAATTAGAAAGGTAAATTTTCCATAAAGAAATTCAAAATTTAATGTCTTATACCTTATTCTGCTTACACAGGTGAAAATTTACACCAAATTAATTACTCTCCAAATACACTCAACATCAGGAAGGAAATTTCATAGAATCATAGAGTCGTTTAGGTTGGAAAAGACCTTGAATATCATCGAGTCCAACCGTTAACCTATCATTGCCAAGTCCAGCACTAAACCATGTCCCTAAGCACCACGTCTACACGGCTTTTAAATACCTCCAGGGATGGGGACTCAACCACTTCCCTGGGCAGCCTATTTTGGCCCAATATCTTATAAATAAATGCTTTGTGCAGTTTGGTTTTGAAGGGCTACATATACTTATGTGCTTCCTTTCAAATGAAGATGATAGGCGCTACTCGTTCTAGCGTAACTGATTTTTTTTTTCCTAGTGACTCTTACTTTCCTGTTATTAGAAGCATCTATTCTTAGTATTGGAAGCAAAAATTGTTTTTGTTTCACTTCCAGTAGTACCAGATTCTTATCAAAAGTTATTGTACTACTATGGTTCAGTGAATACTTAAACTTTTATTAGCTGTTTGGGTCTCTCAAGTAACTGCTTTAATTGCAGAATTGTCTGCATGTGGATTTTTTTTTATTAAATGCTTGCAAGGTTTTAGCACGTAGGAACATTACTTTTATATATATTGTCATGGGATCTTACATTTGGTTGGGTCAAATTTAGAACAATCAGAAGTTAAGTTTGTTGAAGCAATGTATGGAAGAGAATTCCAGGCACGTGGTTTTCCTGCTGCCCACTGCTTCCCCCTTCCCCCTGCACATCACCAATCATTGTGGTAAAATTAATTATTTTCCTACGTAAACAAATACCTGAAATTTGTTGGGATTTGTTTTTTATTTGCCAGCAAAAACTCTCTGTTTTTGACATCTAGCTCAAATTATCTGTAACTTCAGTCAAGTTAATGGTGTACATTCAGTGTGTATAATTTTGCTTCTTGTAGATTGACTTGGAATTAGAGATGGTGACCACTGTAGCAGGCATTGGGATACAAGGTGTTGATAAGGAAGGTGGAGCAAAAGGAGAAGAACAGCCTATCAGCTCTCCATGGGATGTGGTCTTTGGAAATTCAAGTATTGTATCAGTTGAGCTTTTAACATCTCATATTGACACATGCATGACTGCTAAATGTTTTCCTGTTTTGATAATAGTCTGAGATGTGACAAAGTAAAGACTTACTTTATAACTGAGTCTAAAAAAACAGTGGTTTCATTTGCAAGTGATAACTGCAGTTCTGCTTTGGATCCTGAAAAAATGTGAACTGTTACTTGATGTGAAGAAAAATTCTTTTGTAGCAAGTTATATAGTTACTGGGTCCAATACAGAAGGAAATTGTGATTGCTTTTGTTAGGCCAGTGCTTTATGCCAGGATCACTTAAGAAGCAGCTACATTTTACAGGAAGTGGGCATTGTCTAGAAGTTCCTTTCCTTGACTATATAGACATGTCTGACCACTTGTAAATATTTGAGTTTAGGAAATAAAAATAATTTTAGTTGGGGACCTCTGTTTATTCCTGTTTAGGTGAGGTAAAGTCGTTAGACTCAAGATCATGATAGAGTCAGTCAAGATAGGAGAGGAATAAAAACCTTGCAAGTATCAGGGAGTAAAAATTAAATCTTTGCATAATAGGACACAAGAATCAGCTTCTGAAGATTTAAGTAGCTTTCTTTCCTGGTTCACTTAACACACACCTGAGCTTGACATCACATAACTGCCATGTTTTCAACTGTTATTAACTGTGAGCTGATACTCTATTTTCTCATGTTTCCTTTTCAATATCATTTAGAAGTTGCAGATGCCACTTTCTTAACAATGACAGAACAATGCTTTAATGTGGCATAAAACCCTTAGGTCAGTATTGCAGGCATAAATATTGACTTCCAATATTGGGATTTCTTGAATGTGCAGATGAATGGGTTGGGAAAGTAGCATGATTTAAGTCTGATATCTTTAAATTAGAGGTGCTTTACAAGATTAGTAAATTAGAACATTTTAGTGACCCGGAGGCATTTGTTATAATCTTGGGTCAGTTACAAGGGAGGAAAACACACTTAAGTTTAAGGGAACATGAAGCTAGTTCATAAATGCTGTTTGTATCAGAAGACTTCTATACAAACACATTGTCGGTATAGACAGTGTACCACCAGCAGCCTGGACTACTTAAAGAAGCAATCGGCATCAATTTTTAGATTTAACATTTTTAGTAACATCTTCCACAAAAAAAAAAAGGGGCACTTTTTTGAAAGACTTTGTCAACGACCCTTACAATCTGTGTTAAGCATGTGGAATCCTACTTGCAAGAGAAAGGAGTACCTGAAAGAGAATCTCACCAGATGTGGGTTGCTATTAATGAAGGCATGAGTTTTGCTGAATTTTATCCAATCTGATTTTCCTTTTGTGAACCAGTAGACTGTTGTGTAACGAGATGGTATAGTTTTCAAGGTATCTTGAACCAGCAAGCTGATCTCTGTGTGATGTTATTGCAGAGCTGTTTTGCAGATCAGCAAAGTAGGAGACTAATAACTCATCAGTGCCTCAGAACCTTAAGCTGGTTAACAGAACTGTTCAAAATATCCTATAATTTTACTTTTCATTTTTCGTGATGCTTTCTTCTGCTTCTGCCAGTAGCTGGATATCTGTTGATACTTTTTATTTTTGAGAGCTCTGCTTGTTAAATATTAATTGATATGATTGTTATCAACATAAACATAGTAATCACTGAATTAGTCACCTGTAGAGGATTAGTCATCTGCACTGCTCAACACTGACTGCTGAATTTTTATAAGCATTTACAGAAAAATCAGATCTGAATGCGCTCTGTTCAGAGCAGTATAGATTTTTTCATATTCAGTTAGAACCTACCAGTCAGTTGTCTATTTAGATCTCTACAAAATATAATATAACTTGTCAGTTAAGAAGAGCTTGAATCAATTTAAATTCCTTCTTTGAGAGGGTATTAGGCCAAATAGATAAAATGGGGGGGTGCTTTCAGTTTCTTTTTATGATTTTTTTTAATATGATTTTGTGTGAGTGAAGTAAGCCAGGAAAAATGTAAATTACTGTAATAGCTATATAAAACTCTTTAGAAAACTATAACCAGAGAAAGTTGTCAAAATGGATGGTTGTATTGAGTAAAATGCTAACAGGAGTCTGTCCCAGAGCATGAGAGAACCAGGGCTGTCTTGTAGTCCGCAGTGCATTTGTCTCACAGCATAGATATTGTCATTACCTGCAGTGACTTCTTTAAGTTTGTTGCCAGACATCAAAATAGTTTGTCAACACTGCAACAGAGTTTGTCAAAGTTGTATTGTTACTGCAAATTGTTTGAGCCTAGTAGGATCTTCTGTTACTATCTGGTATATCATAGGATGCATTTGTTATTCAGTAAATGCATGCGAAGCACAGTTTTGTAGGAAATCTTCACTGTCCTGGGCAGAGACCCAGCCTTCTGTTGGTGATTCTCAGTGTGCTGTCCTACAAATAGGTACCCTGTGGTCATTGTGTTAAAACTGGTATGACAATGTCTTATATATGCATTTGGATGGATGAAGTAATTGATGAGATTTTAAAAAATTATTTTTGTTCGCATCCACACAGCAGTGCCCATTTTTTACATATGCTTACATGCATCTCTGTGGAAGTTGCAGGAGATAATATACATTTCAACAACTTAGGTTCATTATTACAAAATTCGTTAAGTTTGACTTTCGTGTTAACTAGCGTGGCATATAGGAAATAACGTCATACTTTCCCATTTTCCTTAGATCTATGTAGCTTAAGCTGTGTACAAGAGGCATTTTTTCTCTTCAGAAGATAGATTTATGGATTTTATGGTTTTTAAACAAGTGATGCTTCTGTGAGTTTCCTTTCAATGTCCAAAGCCATGCTATCGGGAACATGAAAGGAGAAAAAAAGAAGTTTAAGCTGTTTATGTACCACGCTAGATAGTATGGAACAGCTTATGCTGACCTTTTTCAGTCTCAAAGGGAAAGGTTACCTCTTAAGAGAAAAATTTTTTTCTGTATCACTTATGTTTCTTGCAATTACTCCTACATACAGTTTAGAGTATGTATTGATCAATTAAAAGACTTCATTGTTTGCTTTTAAAAATTTTAATGCATGGTTTGTTGCCAAATTAAAAATATTGAGGAAAAAAAAGTTTATGAGGGCGCAGATAAGTTAATATTCAGAACAGATACTGCTAAGTAGCATGCTTTTAAGCATCCTCATAGTATTTCCATGAGATAATAGGCTTTTGTTTCCCGGTTTTGTGCAGATGCTGAAGTCTGAGGCAAAGAGGTTAAGTGACTGTGAATACCATTTAAAAGAAAGTTGACACAAATGTCTCTCTTTAAGATAGTGGAGTTAATGGAGACAAAACACGTGCTAGGATTCAGACAGATACTATTCTTCCTTGTCATCTTTTTTTATTTCTTTAGTTGTGACCACTGAGCTTGTGTTTTACCCTCCCCCTTTAAAATTCTTGAATGAACTCCATGGATTAAATTCTGGCTTCATTGAAGTTGGTGCTGAAATTTGCATTGACATAGATTGTGCAGGAAATACAGGGGGAGGGCCAGCAGCTTAGAAATACATTATTAAATTACTGTGTGCTTTTTTAGCTTTCTCTGTTGTCCCCTTCTATTTTTATTCAGTGGGTGTTGAAAGCAAGTGATACTTAAATGCACAGTTGATCTGAGTGTGAAATGTTCTTGATAGCTGCATTCTTGCTGGAAGGAACAGGACAATGACCTGTGCTTGGTGACATAACTGTGTGTTTCACATTCCAAAATCTGGTCTTAAATTGCATGACTGTAATCTATTTATAGAAACTCCCAAGTACAGTATTGACAATGCTTTCAGTAAACTAGTTGGAAATTTTTACGTCAGTTTATGTTCTACAGACATATTATTTAAATGAAAGTACAGTACCTTATCATACTGGTACAATTTTTATAGCCCTTAAAAGGCAAAAGTATGTAAGATTTTTTTCTCTCTGTGTTTCTGCTAGAGGATTATTTAGTACCACTGCATTCCAGAGGAAACACTTTTTTTCCTGAACTCCTCATGGCAATTCTTCCCTAATTTGACAAAAAATGAAGCAATAATCACTTCAGCAATAAGCAATTAGCACTTCCTGGGTGAGCTCAGACCATGTATGAACTGTTAATGTCTGAACTGTCTATATCTTGAAAGTATGCTTTCTACATGTCACTTTTTTTTTCCTTCTAGTCTGGTCTCGTTCTGGCATTGAGGCTCTTGCCTTCACTGTCCCGTGAAAGGAATTTTCCTTGGTAATAGCTGAAAACAAAAGAGCTGCTTTTGTAATCATCAGGGGTTAATTAGGAATCATTTTTCTGGACAACTCAAAATTTGAATTACTCTAAACATATGTTGCCTATGTAATAAGACTGCATGATGTATCAATGTAGACTTACCTGGAATGCAGAAGGCCGCCTCATCTCTTTATAACAGTTTCCTATGCAAAGTACAAACACAAAGATACCCCATTCAGCTTTGGGCTGCATGTGTCGTCGTACAAATTCAGTTGCACAGAAAATCGTGTTAGAGACATCATTGACACGAAACAGCATTGTCTGTCTACTCTTCTTGAACTAGATCCTAAATTTACTTGTAAATAGTAATTATTTTAAATAAAAATATTTGAAATTTCAAAGAAAAAGTAACTTCTTCGTTAAAGACAAGGCTGAAGTAAAGTGGAAGACTTATTATAGGGTTTCATTCCTGTGTAAGACGTGTTTAAGGAGAAAAAGTCTTTTGAGAAATATGACATTAAGAAGTTACAGTGAAGAACTGCAGTGAAGCAGGTCATTACCCAGTCATGCTTTGGGAGGACTTCTGAAGCACACTGTTTTCTTTTATATATTGTCTGAGTGGGTCAACCAGCTTCATACTGTTGGCAGAATCACAGAGAGGGACAAATAGATTTAACTGAAGTTTTCATATGTCCTAATGTAATTTGTATATGGGTTCTGTCACCCCTAAGCAGCTTTCATTCCTGCTTTAAACATTTGAGAGACAACTGAGGAGGGATAAACTTTCAGAACTAGTAGCTTTTTTGTGCGATCAGTCCAACAGACTTTCTCTCTCCAGGAACCTGGTTAAACTGTTGACTGAATGCTCTGATTCTGTATTCCAAGCCAAAACTAAGAGATTAAGGAGTTTATGCTATTGCTGAATAATAATAGCAACAAAACGTACTAATATTTCACATGTTCACTATAGACACAGGTCAAGAAATTAGATATTTACATTAGTATTTTAGTATAAACATGCCTTTGATGGAAACATATAAAGACTGAAGTCTTAACATAAGGATGTAATGGGAATTGTGACTGAATATCCAACAGTAATCCCACACAATTTAGTTTGACAGACTAATTTTCTAGTAAATTGGACTTCTCAACATCTTGATAAAATGGATGATGATAATTACTTTCTGCAGTAAAAAGAAGCATTTGGATTCGCAGAGTTAACATCTTAACAGATGTCAGACTTAGTAATGTTTTGAAGACCATGACTTGAAATGCCCTCTATAAAAAAGTATTATATTTGTACCTGGAATGATGATTTCTCATTCTCTGTTTTCCACAGTCTGTAGTCTTGTTCTGTGAATTAAATGTATGCTTATGATAAAGAAGCTAAAACTACAAATCGGATTTCTAAACACTAGTTCAGATATCAGATACTGTTTTTCATGCAAAATTCCAGATGCAGAGCTGCTGAAAATAAACATCCTTGACAAGTCTTACAGAGTCTTTGTCAGGCATGCTGGGGTCAGAATGAGACAGGTTTTAACTGTTCTTATTTGATGCTGAAATTGCTTTCAAATATGGAATGTGGGTGTTGGGGGTCAGGAGAGACTGCAGTGCTGAAGTACCCTCAGATGTATGTGTTTGCTGTGCTTAAATAGGAACGAATAAAACGCATAACCAGACTTAGCTTTTTCTGTAGTTACAGTAATGTATCCCAACACTAAATAATCTAAATTAGTTCTTTCACGTTAACAAGAGCTATCACTGCTACTTTGTACTTTTTTGAAGTATTTACTGCTATTACAGTCAGAAGGCCTGAGTTAGACGACTTGGGAAAGAAAGCGAAACTATTTCATTATAGTCATCATTTTTAGCCCCCTGTTATCTCACATTGTATGACATCCCCTTGATATCTATGTCCAAGGATTTCCCTTGATGAGAGGGCAGGTACGTTAACTAAGGAGGAAAATTCCAGAAGCATTTTGTTTCATAAAGGGCTATGCTGTTTGCATGATGCAACATTGTGTGAAAGAGTAAAATTCATTTTTACTCCTCTGAAAAGGATGACGTGTACTTGTAACAGTCCAGACTTACAGTGCTAAAGCATTCCTTTGGGGCTTTGCTATCTCTGTCTCACTGAAGAAGAACGATACTCTAGTTGTTCTGTCAGTCAGGTTTGGATTTAATTTGCTCAACTTCCACTGACTTAAGTGAAGACGAGACTTGCATTCATATGTGCACATAGGCAGCGTGCCTATTTGTAAACCGGAGGGCGTGTTTTATAGCCCTTTTTGCCTCTTGTGTTTTTGCAGAGGATAAGTGTACCAACAAACTACTTCCTTGTTATTTTTTTCAAAGATAAAATTAGTAGACAAGAATAATATTTTCAAACTTTAATCTATTTAGAAAATGTCAGTGGTGCCAGCCACAAAATATAACTTTGATTCCCAGGCTTTTAATTCCCAGACTGGAAGTAAGCATGCAGTCCCAAGACAGGGAAGCTGGAAGCATGGGTAGTCCTGGGAATGGAATCTATTCAAACAGACATTGATGTTGACTGGTACGAAATAAAGTCTTTTCTGTGCGTTCAGATTGACTCGCAGTTAATGATCAGCAGCATTACTGAACTGTTTGAAGTTGTGTATGTGTACGAACAGGACTGTGAATTCTTAAAACACAGATACATAGCAGAGGCAGATTCAGGAACTGAATCATCATATTATAACTGAAGCATCATATAATATGGAATGCCAGTGCATTCAGAGCTCTAGTTCATTATTAGTGAATCTTTACAACATAAGTATATCACATTTGCAAGCCATACTTTGCTTTGATACAGGCAGCACTAAAGATAAGAAAGCACATACCCTAATAAGGACAAACTACACTGGACTTTTAAAACAGCTCAAGATAGGTTGGAATGTGGTACTTAATGGAATAAATGTAAAAGACTTGCTTTGTTCTTTTATGTTGTTTTATAATAAATTCTTGAAAAATAAATTCTTTCCATTCAAGGATGATAAGCAGTTATGATAATGATGGTGTTATCATAATTTTAGCATGCTGATTCTCCCTGGCCCCCTTCTCCTGCAAGAACAGTACAAGGATGACAGTGGTGACATGTCCTCAAACTGTTCTGTCCTCAAAGAAGAGGTTTTTCTGTCTTTTGTTTCAGAACATAAACCATTAAACTCTGTAGTGTCAGGACCATTGTGTGATAAAATACCTTAGCTATGCAACTATAAGCATTGTTTTTACTTTTCTGGTTTTGTATAGATTTTTTTAATTAAAGTTCTGACGTATTTTCCACAATTCAGTATGCTTGTGCTGTTTCCATGCATGCATCCATCCCCTTTGCTCTAATTGCCATGCAGTTGAAAATATTTAAGTTGCATTAAAATTTATGATGGCTATGGAGCTCTTACTTATTTTTCCTGTCTTGTTCTCTAGTTGAAGAAAGGATCTTCTCTCTATTGATCTTACATATTCAGTAAAATTTGAAATTAATATTGATAGTTTTTCCCTGTATCTCATATTTGATAAGCCTTTCAGTGTGCAGAATTAGAGTAAGAAACCTTTTCAATTTTTCAAAGTATAGCTGTCACAAGGGAGTTTTCAGTGGGTGGAATTAGAGCATTGGATAGATGAATGGAATAGATTTTTCTGAAGTGCTCAGTTCTAGTCTTACTCGTTCATTTCATTGGTGGATGAAGTGAATATTAAATAATTAACAAAGCATTTTTTGAGATCCCTCAGAATGAACTGCACAGCATAGCAAGATAAAAAGCTCACTTTCTGAATTGACCAGTGATTTTAGCATTGTTCATTCTGGGGTACTCGGAATAGTAGCATCTGGAAAGTGCAGGGTATGCATCATGGAAACATAAAGTCCTGAAGTTGAACATGTGCTATATACGTGAAATGAATTCATAGGCCATTCTCTCAGTTCCAATCTCTTGGAAAGAAGCTCTAATCAAAGGTGATTCTGTTGTCTGTTTGTCTGTTTGTTTGTTTGTTTTTATCGGGGTGGTTTTGGCATTGCCAGTACTTTGGGAACATCTCTGGTGACTCATAAAACGTGTGTTTTCCAACTCATTTTGCAAGTCTTTCTGCTCAACAAAAAGCTGTTAGGTGCTTTGGAAGTTTGACACTTATTCTTGGAGCTCTAGTTTGCATCAAAACGTGGAGCCACGTGGAGGTGCAGGCGAGAGTCAGCAGAGTTCCTTTGATCTCAGTCTTGGAAACTTATCTCTTGATCTAAGAAACAGAAGGGGCTGAAGATAACATACCAGTACTCTGAAGGGGGCTCACAGTATGAGGAGATTGATTCTGGAGGCAGAAGGATGCTTTTTCCCCCCTCTTGCAGTGTGTAATTTAAGAAAGGTTTAGGATTAGAATAGGTTGGGGGAATAGTGGTAAATTTCATTTTAGGAAGATTGATTTGGACTAATTTCTCAGGCATTTTGTGTATAATTGCTTTTATTTTGAAACTCCAAAGTGTGTGTGAGGGGGGTGTATCCATTAGATTGTTTGCAGAAACAGCTATGAGATGCATGGTGTTTTATAAGTTCATGTGGATAAAAAGTTTCTGTGAGCAATTTGAAGGTATTTTTCTGTTGACTGGCTAATAGTTATTCCAATACCTCATACATTTACTTAGAAAAACATTTTAATGTTGTCTCTGACGGGACAGTTGTATACAATATGTATAGACTAGTACAGTGTTAGAAAGATAATAGGGGCCCCACTTTAATGCAGTTTTTAAATGTCAACTTTCTGTTCCTTAAGATTTTCAGAAAAGGCTAAGATAAGTAAATTTCTTTTGGTTTTGGGCTTGTTTTTTTTTAATGGTCTTTCACTGCTTGTCTTCATGTGTTCTTTCTTATGCTGTAATGTGATAAGTGTAAAGCTATAGAGCACTTACATGTTTTTCTCTTTCCATTTGTATCACGTTATTTGTGAAGTATTGTCTGGGCAAGCTTTGTGCAATTTTATAGATTTGGGTTGGTGAATAGCAGTATTATATTTTGAGATTACACATTTGTGATATCACATGTACATGTGCATAGGGAGTACAACTCGGAAACTGGATGGTTAGTGCAGGGGGAAATTAGTAATTGCCCACATCACATCTAATCTTTGAATAAACAGTAGTTGTTGCTCCCTGGAGTGTAAATCTACATGACACCTAAGCATCAGTTGCCCTTATCTTAAAAACATTATGTACTCTGTACCTTAGGTAACAAAGGTACTGCCTTTATTATTTCTCTCAAAACCTGTATACAACTGCCAGTAGTTTTTTTGAATATCTAATTTTGTCACTAGTTTAATAAAAACCCCCACCTACCCTTACCCAGCCCCCCAAAAACCATGCTTAGCAAAGATATGTACATATTTGTTGGCCAGGATGAATCCAAAAATAATAGCTGAAACATGGACCCAATACAAAGTGTTGCAAAGAGCAAATCCCATTTGAAGTATTGCCTTTACCAGGTAGGGATATTAAAAACACAATATTTATATCCTTGGGAAGAGTACAGAAGAAAAATAGCAGAGTTCTTGGTAGATGAAAGGCATTCTCTCTCTCCTTCTTTTTCTCTGTTTTTTGGTTGGTGTTTTTTTTTTTTTTACCCCATGGCAGAAGGTGAGCTGGAATAAGGGGGGCAGCAGAGTTGGTTTGTTGATTTCTTTGTTTTATAGAACATTCCCAAAGATTTTTTTTTTCCATCTGTTTTTATACATCCATTTTTAAAAGTTTCAGGGACCCAGGAAGACGATATTTTGTGGATAGCAATGGCAGGCACTCATCAGGTATGGGCACTGATGTTGGAAGGTGGAAGACTACCAAAGGGAAGGTAAGCAGCTGTAATAAGAAGCATGTGAAATTGCTGCTTGTCTTGATAATCAGCTTTCAAACCCCAAAGAGAGAGATAATCAAATTACACTTAAAATAATTTTTCTTAAGCTGTACTTAGCTTGAAGCTTGCTGCTTCTGTTTGGACTTAAAAGGCATGTGTCCTTTAAAGTCTGCCTGCTTTTTCCCACACTGTTAGATGAAATGAGATATGCTACTTTTGCTATAAACCTATGGCTTGGTAGGGTACATTTGTATAACTGAATGTTACTTTTCATTGCATTTGCTGAATTATCTAGTGATGAGTGATAAACTGAAGTGAAATAAAAGTTAGCAGAAAGGCATTGAATAGTTCCTTGTGCTGCAGTACAGTTGGTTTTATAACTCACAAGCGCTTGTCCTGTAGCTTCTGTTTATGCATAATGTCTGAAGTATTTCAAACTCATTCTTGAACTTGGGTACTATTTTCCTTTAGTGATTTAAAGAAAGGAGTCTGCCTTCGATTCGCTGGGAGTGGAAATGAAGAGAACAGAAACAACGCATACCCACATAAGGCAGGCTTTGCACAGCCTTCAGGTCTCTCTCTGGCTTCCGAGGAACCATGGAACTGCCTTTTTGTAGCGGATAGCGAGAGCAGCACCGTGCGAACCATCTCTTTGAAAGACGGAGCAGTGAAGCACCTTGTAGGAGGAGAGAGAGATCCACTGGTAATCACTTCAAACTTCCCCACACTGCCCTACTAATATTCCTCAAGCCTGACCTGGAGGAACCACTTTTGGGGTGAGAGGGTAAATCAGTTTCCATGGCCATCAATTTCTTAACTTCACTGCTTGGAATGCAAATGTGTGCTGGTTGTGACGCTCAGGTTGTAGTGCAAATTGTTGGTCCTCAGATAACAAATTACTTCACTTATTTTTAAAATAGCCAACTTGATTTAGCATTGTGTGGTCACTAAAGCCAGCTGGATTCATATTGATAATGTAAATGTGAGAGTTTCCATTTCCATGGTTAGCATCCACACTTCCCAGTTTTCAGTATCCTTGTTTTGAAGTTGTCTTGATTTTTTTTTTTTTTTTATTTATTTAAGGCCGTGAATTCCATTTAATTACAATCATTTAAAGTCATGTCAACATTGAATAATCAAATGTATTAATTTAATAAAATACTTTTTCAGAATTTGTTTGCCTTCGGTGATGTCGATGGAGCAGGCATAAATGCAAAGCTGCAGCATCCCTTAGGAGTGACGTGGGACAAGAAAAGGAAACTACTCTATGTGGCAGACTCCTATAATCATAAGGTAAGCATACAGTAGCTTGTTACGTACCGGCTTTGCAATTTTTATGACTACAAAGGATTATTTTAGGAACACACAAAGATTGCGCTTCATTCAGTTAAGCTGAGGAAACAAATGATACGAGTTCCTTTGTGGGTTCTTTTTCTTTCCTTCCTTCCTTCCCTTGTGGGTCCTTCTCTTTACGATTGTTTTGCTGTCACATGCTGCTGTACTGGTATGATGGCCCCTTGGGGAAGGTGAATTTAAAGTGCCCAGTTACAGTTCAGGCTAAAGACCCTTTCCTTATGTCTTCCCAAAGATGCTGAACTAGAGCAAAAGAGCTAGGAGTGCTTAGTCAGGAATATTGCAGGTTTCATAAAACCAGGGGAATAAGAGGACTTGCTTTTCCCTTAAAAAAGCCACCCAAGTTTTGAGAAGAAGTATTGTGGGTTGCATCCATGGAACTCTGAGATAAGAGAGATTGTTTTGCGTGATTGTTCTTATGTGATGTTGTATAAACTTTTATGTCTAAAAGGTTGTTAACCGTACATTGATTAAATGCATTAAAAGAAAAGTAATTTGTTCTAATTTGAAGAATAAAGTGTATAACGCTAAATGCTTTTTGAAATTTTATGTGGCAAATGAAATTTTTTTTCAGGTATTACATAAAACATTATAAACTTTTTTGCTATTACTTCAAGAAAAAAAAAAAAACTCATCTATTTTTAGAGAAAAAAATGATATAGAAGTTAGCCTGCCAGTTTTGTTATGCTCTTACTATTTTGCAAATGTTTCCAGAAGAGCAACAAACATGAGAAAAACAAACTATTCAGCATACTTTTATATCAGAGGGGCAGGTGCCTTTGAAATGATGAAGGAGAACACTGAATGAAGACCAAAGGAAGAAGTCAAGTCCAGCAGGGAATGGGGGGGTGGGGGGAAGATGGGAGATGTCATTTGGTAAAGTGTGATAACTTAGCTTCTAGGACACACACTTGGTAGCTAAGGTACTCAAAGCTAGTGCTGGCTTCTGAAAATGTGGGGCATAAGATAATGCAGAAGAAATAACTCCTGGTGGGTTCTTTTCAGATAAATTTTTTCGTGTTTTTGTTTATCTTAGATTAAGGTTGTAGATCCCAAGATGAAGAACTGTGCTACCCTGGCAGGCACAGGAGAAGCAAGCAATGTTATTGGTTCCAGCTTTACACAGTCAACTTTTAATGAACCAGGAGGTTTGTGTGTTGAAGAAAATGGCCACTTGATGTATGTTGCAGACACAAATAATCATCAGATTAAAGTGCTGGATTTGGACACAAAAATTCTTTCCATGGCAAGTAATACTTATTAAACAGGCTGATAGTGGTGTTTCTTGATATAAATTACTATTACAGACTTTGGCAAGTGGTATAAAAATCATATAGCTAATCAACTTTTTGGGTACAGTAGCTATATTCAGAGAATGTTTTGTGGTGATCTGGCAAATAAACATTGGCTGTTAGCACAGTTGTTGAAAGCCTTAGTCTTTGGAAAGGCAGCTTTTGCATGAAACAGAAAGTGATGATCCTCTAGAAAAGAACAATACAGAAACATGAGTTATTACAAAATACAGCCCAGTTTTTCAGTGTGAAAAGCATTTCATGAGCACTTCCCAACTCCCCTTGTAACAAATGGAAGTTGAAATAGTGTACCAAGTCCTATAATTATGCCGTAAGAGATGATTTTGGGAGGTCAGTGAATTAAAGCAGGATACATAGTGGGCTTCCAAGTTGTCAAATCAAAACCACTGTCATAACTGAGCACTGCTGTATTTGCTTATAAACATGAAGGCAAAACAAATCCGTGCTCCTGTCCATCTTACAACGGCACAATGTCTTAAAGTTTTCGTATGTATATTCATATATGACATAATGGTCCAGCTGTCTTCTTGTATGTTTCTTGCATTTGGTAGTACATGATCTTAATGTCTGTTTAAATTGTCATATCATATAACATGTTGGTGGCTTTTCTGGGAAATTATCCTTTACTGTGCAATCTGCATGGTTAAAATCTTGGATTTTATTACCAAAGCATGCTGTTTACCACCAGATTAGAAGAAAATACCTATAAATTTTATTTAAAGTAAAAATATAATGCAACTGTTAAAATTTTAAATTGAAGGATACTTGAAGTCACAGATACTCTAAAGTAGTTGTGGAGTTTATGATTTTAGTAGCAAATATTATTTTTATTTGGATTAATCAGTTTTATCTTTTTCATGTAAAAGAAAATTTTGTCCTCCCCTTTTTCTTTGTCACTGTAGTATTGTAAAGTTTTAGTCCAATAGCCATATTATCATGTGTTAGTTTTCCTAGTCCACGTCAGCTCTGAAACTGATTGTATTGTGAAAGCCTATTTGCTTTCAGTACAAATAAAATAAATATTTTGTTTGATTTCTACTGATAGTTGCCTATCCTGAATCCAGAAGCATGTGATGTTCCAGATAACCTGCCTGTGCAAAAGGATAAAATAGCAAGCCTTCCAAAACTGCCTAAATCTGCACCAAACGTTCAACTTCCTTCACTAACTGTAGCTCCTGGCCAGACAATTCAGTTTTTATTAAAGTTGACTCTTCCTCCAGATTCAAAACTGAATGAAGAAGCACCCAATTCCTGGTTTATCACAGCAGAAGGTAAAGTGCCTGTGTTGTTTTATCAGTTGAACAGGAGTAGATAAGATACAAAGTGGGTTATATCATGACGTGCCTGTAATGCAAGGGATCTCAGTCTGATGAATCAAAATGTCCCTCCCAGTCCTGTGTTCCCATTTGACCTGGTGATGCAATACATGTTATTTAGAGTTGATACATTTAACATTTGGAGTGGGAAGTTTAGAAAAAAAACACCTGATAGGCTGCTTTTTGCTTGAATTAATACATGCTGCATTATTATTTGTTTTTTAACTTTCTTGGAACAAGCTGCCAGTGAGGGCTTGCAAAGGTACTGATCCCAGAACAGTTGAGCTTTTTGCTCCTTCGGTGGTTGCCCTCTCCACTGTCTCTATGATCAGCTTATCCCAGCCCTACCATCTGTTTCTGGGAGAAAACTCAACGTGAAGGTGAAGCATATTGCTGAGAGAGATTCCTTTTTTTTGCTTTTGTCTCTTCCAAAAAGTATTTGAGGTGCATTTATACCTAACTACTTTGAACCTACCTTGTTATAATTCGTATTTGCATATTTCTGCTTGAATATTTCTGTAATAAGGCACGCTTTCTTATGTAAGAGGTAAATTATGGTATGTCAAGGAAGCAGAAATGATTGGCCTTTCTTGCAAGTTCTTTTGCTGACTTCCTGTGTGACCTTGGACAACTCTTTCCGTCACTGTGTACCTTGGTTACTGTGAAGTGGGAATATTATTATTATATTGGGATAACGGAAATATTACTTCATGTTGTGGCAGTTTCCCGAGCCGAAATTAATCTCTCTCAACTCTCAAGTATTCTAAAAGAGCACATGGAACATGTTCGCATGGTGTGCAACTGGAGTGGTTTAATTCTAGCCATCGTTGCCATCCTTATGCTGGGGATTACTGTGCCCATAACATGACTGGTAGAATAGACCGTGTGAGTGTTCCCTAAAATTCTTTTCAGTACAAAAATAGCAAGGTTATCTGAAACGCCTTCTTGCACAAGATGACCATTAGTGGGTGTTTGGAGACAGTGCTTTCCAGTGGTCTAGCTGTACCCAAAAGGGAGAACCTACCCATACCCTTGGAAGTACTATATGAAAGCCAATATACAAAATAACCCATATTTTCTCACATTCTCTGTGTATTGAAACAGTTTTGCCTGGTTATTGAGTTACTCAGGTGTGACTCATTTGCTTTAAGTTTAATACGTTTATGCTCTAGGAGAAAATTTTTTTATCTCACTGGAATGTCAATACTTTTTAAAAGTATCCTATAGTAGGTGTTGTGTGCTTAAGTAAAACCATAAACTACTGTTCTTGAAGGTGAAGGTAGGACACTTAGCATTCAGACTCTGAGAAATTTCTGAACTGCATAAACATGTTTTCTGTTAGACTCTAGGCACCCTAAAGTAAATGATGCATGGTACAGAGAAGTGTTGCCTCTTGGAGGAAATGAACAAGATACCCACTAAGCCAGTATAGAGCAGAGAAAAGCTTAACTGACTGTTTAATGAGTTGCTGAACAGTTTAAAAAAAAAAAAAGAGCCTAGAATGTCATTTTCTTTAGTTTCTGAGACAAGTTTTTGATGTTGAAATTGCATCATTTGCACCTTCAATAGATTTTTTGAAAGCGATACAGAGAACATTTATATTTCAGTTGTGTTCACTCAGTTGTTGCACTGCATTGGAAAACATTTATTTTTAGAAATGCTGCTATATTTTAAAATTCTACTAATTTTTAGTAATTGTTCTCTGGCTCAATTTACATGCCATATTGGCTTTTACAATGATAAATACTTGTTAATAGTTATTCCTGCTTGTAGATGCACTTTAACTGATCTGAAAGTAAACATCTCATCTTTTGACTTGTCTTTTGTTGGCCAGCTTTCAAAGCGTCCATGTGGTAGCTTAATTAAATTGATTGCTTTTAAAAGCAGTCAAAAAATACTGTACAGGCACTGCAATTTGTTTTATATGCCTCATGATTTAAAGTAGTGTCTCATCCCAGTTTGTGCTTTTGGAGTACAAATAGACTATTTCCAGGAGAGTCAGCACACTTCTTGGTCTACAGAATCCCCAAATGCTGTTGAAGTAAAGATATATGTGATAGCTTCAAGGGTTAGTAAAATTGGAGAATGTAAGCAACCTAAACGCAACAAGTCATTTCAAGCTCATAAATTCTAGAGCCAACCTTTAGGTATTTTCTGAAAAATGCCAAAAAGAGCACTTCATCCATCTCACTTGGAGTAAAATACAGAGTACAATGCAAAGAGCTAGGTACATTTATTGTGCAGTTCATTTTTCAGTTCACATACTCTTAACTATTTAAATAAATGTGAAACTCAAGTTCCGTTGTAACAGTCAGCCTGAACATTGCTAAATTGCAGCAACCCACTTGCAAAACCAACACTTCTGTTTGGAAATGCCATAATTTACCTGCAGTTTTATGCATTTATGGCAGATACCTCACCTGGAATATTAGACCTCTGAATATTAGGAATATTAGACCAAATGTATAGCAGCCCATTAATTTAAGGAGTTCTGCTTGCATATCTCAGAATAAATTTTAATATCCTCTTAAGAGCATATAGGACAAATTACAGATCCATTGCATTTAAACAAGATGTACTGTATATATACCTATAGTTCTGAAGCAAAGCTGGGCATCTCTCCATCTTTAAATGACTGCTAAAGAAGCATTTGTAAATTACGTATCCTTTTTTGTCCATGACTGGAAAAATCAGGAAGGAAATTTCCCCTGATGTTCCATATAGAAAGAAAGTCTATGTTGTCCTATAGGTAAAATTAGCATTTTCTGTAGGTTTCAGACGTGGTGTTAAATATCCTAATGATAAAACTTGTTCTTCTTTTACAGAAAATACCTGGTTGCTTCAAGGACAGTGTCTGTCTGGAGAAATAAAGGATGTTTTCTGTCAAACTGTCATTCCCTTTCAGTTACCCAGGAGCTGTCTGTCAGCTGAAGCTATCCTGGCTGTCAAAGCGTGCCTCTACTATTGCAGCAAAGGTAGCAGTGCCTGTATGATGAAAGGAATCTCATTCAGTCAGCCTTTACAGATAGCAAGTACAAACCAAGACAGCTTGACTCAAGTTGAACTGATACACGCGTTTTTAACCAACTAACCCAAAGCCAGCTAATTTCATACTTTATTTTACTATCCACCATTTCTGTAGGAGAAAAACTTTTCTCCGTTGTTCATTTTCCTGGAGCTTATGACAAAGCTAAGAAATAATATATTTGGTAAAATACTATCATCACAACCTCATTTCTTTTCATTACAGTAGCAGCAATAATATTGTAATACTCTAGACTCTGTTGCCAATTGTGAATATATTGGATGTATGCCATTCTAAGCAATGAGCAACAATTTTTAGAGTCCTTTTGAAAGAGCTGGTGTTACTTTGTGATGTTACTGTAAGAAGTTCTTTGCACTGTACATACTGTTAGAATAGCTAGATCATTTTGGACTAACAGTTAAAAATTCCTCTTGTACCCTTATTAAATTTTAATAGAATTTCAAAATGAATAGTTTCTTTCTCTAGGCTGTAAAAGAATTATCTTGCTTATTTTTCTGTAATGGCATTTATGACACATGTATTTTGAAAATACATCTTAAACTAGGTGCAGCTCTAATTTTATGCAAACCCAGTGTTTTGCTTAACCGCCTTATATGAAGAGCGCAGTTTCATCGAAAAATTTCTGTGAAAGGAAGTGTTCAAGTTCCTACAGAAGAATTTCATGCTGATTTCTAACAAAGAATGTGCCTCTATCTAAGCTGTAGATATATAAAGAAAAAAAACCCCACAAAACCATGCCAGAGTTTTTCTGATACATACCAATTTACATTTTATAGTAAGCGGTAGATAATGGTTGAATATCTAAACTCAAAAATTAAATGTCAGCCGTTTCAGGGGTGAATCACTTTCCTACTTTTCTGATTTCTCTGTAAAGACTTGTCTGAAGACTTCTGTCTTGCAAATACATAGTATTAAAAAGAATATTATACTCTTGGAAATCTGATTCAGAGTCTTTTGAAGTCACTGTTAGTCCCCCAGTTTGTAATAGTAGCCATTGAACCAGAACTCTGTATTTAATAATGGATTATTTGCATTCATGTTTAGAGATTCTGAGCTTTTGCTAGAAAACTGGTAAACTAATCTTTGAGTAAGGTGCTTTAAAACTGTCTTACAAAGCTCTGCCTTTGGTGGTTAAGTGTTTTGCAAGTAAAATTCCTTCAATATGCTGTAGTAAGTAGCAGGAATACAGGAGGGGGTGCAAGTTTTTCACTTCAACTGGAAGAGTTTCCACAGTGCTTAAGTGGTAAGTGGATTAGGCTCTGGGCTCTGGTCATGAGAATCAGTTCTGAGAAGATGATTTTGTTTTAAGTTTGAAGGTAGTGTTTTCACATATATTATAAAGTACAGTAGTGAAAGAATTTTTATATAGTCTTTTCTAAAACAGTCACTGTTGTTCCTGACACCTGTCAGTAAATCCCCAGTATGATTTGTTGTTGCTCTTTCTTACTTAAAGGCTGACTGAAATGTTGGTCATGAACCCGAGAGGCTTTTGTTTTAAGGGAACCATATGGACTGGTGTGTTTTTTCCTTCCATTGAAATGCCAGTCTATCTGCGAGTTCTCTGTAGTACCAGAAATGGTCGTTATCTCACCTGTCAGCAAGGCAAGGGCTGAACTATTATTTTTCTTGTGTTTGTTTTTTAAGCAGCTTTTCTATTTGAGTGTTTCAGCTCCTTTGGGTAAGCTCCTCAATCCTCACATGCCATTTTGAAGAAGGAAAAAGCTTTGCTACTTTGTTCACAGATTGTGAATGCTATTGGAAGGATGAAGGTAAAGAAACTGATTTGGGCATTTGTCATTTTTTATACTTTAGTACAACTCACTCTTTAAAAAACTCTTTCCAAATTTCTTGTGTGTTTAACTTTGGATAGTAGCTGGGAAACCAGCTTCCAGCTAGCCCACAAATTTTCTGTTGCTTACTGAAAAAAACAAGCATTAGTTTCAGAAGTTCAGAATAACGAACCAAACTGTTACAGTTATCTTGAACGTACAATTCAGCAGATGGACTTTTTTTCTGGTATTTTCAACTAGAATGACATTATATTTGTCTATTTCAATTAGATGACATCATCAAATTCTGCTTTTATTCCAATATTTAAAAAAAAAAAGTCAACAAATCTGTTTTCTTATTGACACTTTTTAATTAATGTATTGCTGTAGGGGAAAGACTGTGTATTCCTAACTTTAATTATAGTCTTTAATGTTTAAATATATTGTTGTAGCTATGTTTTTCTATCTAAATGTACATATCTAAATGTGTGTTTAAGTGTCATATCCTTTTTTTCAAGTTTCAACTTTCAGTCACTGTATGTAGACACACTCAGAACCACTGTAAGCTTCTTGGGCGATAGTAGGTAGCAGGAAAACTGTTGCATAAGCATCAAGCTGAAGCCCAGGATCAAACTGTAAAAGACCTTTAAATATTTAGTTGTAACCAAATTTCAAACAATTGTATTTCAAGGAAAACAGTTTCAGCTTTACTAGTGGAGAGCAGGAATATATCTGTTTGAACCAGTTTTTTCTTTATCTTTTCTTTTAAGTCCATGTCTTGCGGCAGATGACTGAATCTTACATAAACTATGAGAGTGGGGAGTGGTATACTATATCCGTGCTACTATTACTCTTTCTACAAAGCCTCAGAGCATTCCTTGCTACTGCTAGCTTTATGCTAAAGGAGAGGCAGAAGATGTGGTACCATCTCAAAAAGACGCACAACCCACTATTTACAAAGAAAATCTGTGTGTCCCAAAATGCTTTCCCCCTGAATCTGATAGAGTCCTAAAGTCTTTTAGGCAATAACTCCTTTAGTTTGCAAGGGAGAGCTGCTTTTCCTGGCTCATCGTAGTGGGTTTCACACAGGGACACCGCTGTAGTCGTTCTCCTTCATCATCTTGGGAGCAGCAGATTCTCAGTGAGCTCCAGTTCTCACTGATGAGGTTACTGGGGTTCTGCTCCTCGCGCACTCAGTCTGTGTGTTCCCTGGGATTGGCCTTTAATCATACAGCCTAATGCTATGTTCGTTTGTCCAAGGAATAGCATACACATTCCCGGAGTCACTGCTTCTGTTTCACTTGTGGTATACAGACATTTGAATGTTCTGTAATTAGAAAAACATGGTTTTTAAAAGCTTCTGATGTTTAGGGATACTATTTCCATTGCTGCCTCCAGGCTTTACAAGGTGCTCTTACAGTAAAGCAACAAGTGCCATAAATGTCACCAGACAGGCAAACAGAATAGCATGTACAAGCTACAGAAATTTATTTCAGTTAAGTACCAGAAAGCATCTTCAAAACATGATTCAGAAAAATAGAAAATGTTACTACTGTGTCTCACTACTGAAAAATCAGATATATTGGTGACTGCTATCTCTTTGTATGGTAATGTAGTTTATTAGTGTCTCCTGATATAAAAATTCTGAGCAGATTGGCATGGCTCAGCACTCCCAGATTTGTATCTTAGAGTAAAAGTATGTAATATAAGGCCTTTTCAGAACATGTCTTTCTACTGACTTTAATAGGTTTTGCATCAGACCTTAATAAATTACTGTAGCAAATCTCTGAGGAATATTGGTCATGGTTGTATTGTATAATGGAAACAAGTTCAGTGGCATTTGCAGTTTAGTTCCAGTGTTTCCTTTCCTGCAACAGCTTTTGGTTTTGAATGAATAGATTAATAGTTCCATGAGATGTTTTTAGAAATTTTATTTAATTACAGTACAATATTCTTCATTAGGTTAGGAAAAAGATAATGTGGTTTCAAAGAGGGAGCGTAATGTATTTTAATAGCTTTTTCATGTTGTTTGAATTCAGTAGTAGCTTTCTGTAGTTTGTTCCCCTCTGTTGAAGGAAGAGGAGGGATGCTGACTGTAAAACCTATTGATGGGCACATATTTTATGCATACATTTTTAGTTAGTTCCTTTTGGTGTTAGATTCTCACATGTCATTTTGGGCTTTTCTACTGGATGCACTTCTTCATAGTTTGTGTTTTGCCTCTCGTGTCTTCCACTTGTAGAACATTATGTTTGTATAACGCTGTGGTAATGTCGTGATACAAAGCAAGTACAGACCAGATGAGTAGTACAAGAGAAAGTAGTTTTATAGCATCACGTAAATGCCTTATCTGCTTAGCCTGAGAAAAGGTGCATATGGCTTCCAGTACATTGTATATATTCTTAATGCACTTTTTTTATTCCAATGGGCAAATCTTGTAGCTCAAACCCTGGGTAAAACTATTTTTGTGAGAATGTCAAGAAAAACATTCCTTATCCCTTGCTCAGAGGAGGGGCATGATCGGAATCGAGTGACTTTCCTTCTCATGCAGGGGCATGTCCTTCTGTTCCTTTAATTATTGACTATTTATTTTAGCAAAGAGAGTTGTATTATTGACCGCAAATTCGCTTGAATTTTTGATTCCTAACAACGTTTTCTACATACAGGGAAGCTTTAAATGTCTGACTTTGTAGAGCTATGAGTGATATATCTAGTTCAAAATGGCTTATCGTTCAGACAATAGCAGAGGTTTTTGTACATTCGTATGATCTGTAATTTTCTAAAATCACTGTTATTCATTAAGACTTACCTCAGAGACACATCGCAGCTGAACTCCCACAGAAGCGCGTTCATAAACTGTGTATTGTAACTCAAAAGTAAGTTTTCTTGCTTGTGTAATGTGCGAGAGATGCTGTGACACGTAGTGTATATGTGTTGTCCAGGCTGCAGCTGTGCCACCTGAGGAGAATTTACCATGCCCAGCAGCTTATCCAACTACCCACAGTAACTCTCCACTCAAATTTGCCAGCTCAGTTCATGTAATCAATTAAAATTACTGAATTATGTTAGCAAAGATTTGGTATTTAGAATTAATCATTATAATTTTCACTTAAATCAGTTTGTCGGGGATTAGAGGAGCTTCTCTGTCCCAAGCAGGGAAAGTATGATGATGACAAGTAGTTGGAGACAGTTGTTGAAAATGTGAGACATGCTTATTTTTTAATTAAACCACCACATCTGTCTTTGTATTCTACAACGGATCATGAATTTAGAAAC